CCCCAAAACCCCAAAACCCCAAAACCCCAAAACCCCAATTTAGAAGAAGGTAACTGAACAATTGTATAATTTGTTATTAATTGAGAAGACCCCTCAAGGATTTGTTAACCGAACGCTTTTTCGAAGCCCCAGGTGATTCCTTCTTTTGCTCTTGGTTGGACTCTACAGGTTAGGCAAGCAAATACTTTTCAACTCAATCTCTGCCTCTCTTGTCCGTTTGAAGAAGTCTTTAGCTGTGATAGTGCTAGAGGGAGATAGTAAGTACGACAGGTATTGAAGATTAGAAAGAATTGATAAATTTATTTGAAAATTAGAGGTCGCTTACTTGCTGGATTTTTCAGGACCGAAATTCTTCGTCAAACTTCCAGAAACATTCCCACACATCCTTTGTAAACTAATATGTGATTGGATTTGATTCTGATCTAAATGACGCATTCTTTTCCCTGCCCTAATTTTTGGCGTAGCAAATCCCATTATTCCTTTAAACTTGTTATCCATATCTCTCTTATCTGCCTGACTGGAGGCTGGAGCTGCGGGCCTTCTGGCATCAAAAGGAGCAAGAAGGCTCTCTTTCATTCTTTTCCTTTCTTCTGCTTTCATGGTGGTCTCAGTAACATTAAGGCTTTCTAAATCTAGTTATTCACCTGGATTAAAGCTTTGAGCAAAGATTTTATGAATTTTTATGCAAATATCGTAGCAAAGTGAATTAATGAAGATTCTAATATTCATTGTGAGCCATTTAACAAAATATATCGTATTATAGAGAATATTCTAATCACTCACTTTTGTGTAAGAAAGGTGACTCTTCAATGGCAACCTTATTTGGAGTCCTTCTCATGTGTTTTATCAACAAATGTTCACTCCGAGAGCAGCTTTTCAATCTTTTTGGAAGCAAGCACTTTGAGTACTGTATTAATCCAGTTTGTGTCCATTACTGCTTTACTTCTTAAACTCCTGACTGGCTTTCCTTGGTCTTTACCGAAACTGTCATAGAATATTGTCCAAGGGATTTTGTAAAGAACTGCTTCTTCAGAGTCAACCTGTGCAGAGTACTTTGAAGGCGTTTTTGTGAGGGCACTTGTCTGGCCAATTCAGTCCCCTTCAACCAGCTTGCCAATGTGTATAAATTTTGACACAGTAGAATCAATCATTTCAAATTTCGAAGCGATTCTTTTGTTTGTGGTATAATTATATAGAAGTCTTCAACTTCCCTCGAAGATGAAATATAGAAAATCATTGATTTTACCTTGTTCTATAATCCTAAATCCTTGGGTCACTTTTTCCTTTTTGAAGAGAGTCTCAAATTCATTGATTACATTTGTCGAGACGGATCGGAAGCCAGGAATGTATCTCGTCAAGTACTCAATCTTGGCCTCCGCAGAGCTGACCACTCTTTCCTTTCTAATATTCTCGTATTTTAAAATATTAATTTTCAGAACAAAGGTCTTTTTCTCTGCTTTGGCAGTCTTGGTCCTGCAAGGAACATCTTCTGAATTCGTGGATTTATCGAACCCAAAAACTTGATTTTCATGGAATAAATTTGCGATTTTCTCATCCCCTTCCTGATTGATTTCAATGAGATGAACAGCTCCAGATAGAAGGTAGAAGAATCATTTTGAAGGCTCTCCAGCTGAGTAAATTTCTTCGTGTTTGTTAAACGACTGAAATTCAATAAAGGAGCAAAGCTTTTGAATCATTTCAACAGAGTAATCACCGAAGTACATATGGTACTTGGGTCATTTATTATGCAGATGCAATTGTATGAACTTAGCATCCTCCTTTTGGATTTGACTAGTATCCATTTCAGAGTCTTGATCATATCAATTGCCATTTTTTAAGATATCTTTGATGCGGTCAAATATGACTTCTTCTTTACTAGCTCCTCCTGCTAACTTTCCTAATATATCACTCATTGCTCAACTATTTATTTATATATTAATATATTTATTAAGTGGGGTTTTGGGGTTTTGGGGTTTTGGGGTTTTGGGG